CATAATTTTGCAAGAGCTTAAATCTAAAACTTTAACTCTCACAAGGTTAAAAAGACATGTGAGCACAGTTTTGTGCTCACAGGCATGCGGCACCAACCAGTGTGCCAGCGACGGACAGGTGCTTGGCCTCAGAGCAAGTACCATTCGACGACTCGACTTTGGGTCAAGAGTCTTTGGCTCAAGCGCCTCCTGTGCAGGAGAAGTGTGGGGAGGAGCCTTCGGCTTAGAGGACTTCGGGTCAGACGCCTTCAGCGGAAGCGCCTTCGGCAAAGACCCAACTTGAGGAATCGGCCAAGGACAAAGGTCGAAAGGAGGAGACACGTGTGGATTCGGCACAGTCGCCTTCGGCACAAGCGTCTTCGGCGGTAGCAGATCAGTCAAGAGAAGCGGGCCCACTGGAAGCCAGATCTTCCACCGCGTTGGAGATCTTAGCAAGGAGTGGAGCGGCGGTCGCGGCAGAAGAAGCCACGCGACCTAGTTCTAGGGAATCGCCGAGGATTCCTGTGGCGACAGAGATCCTCGACTCAGAGGACGAAGACTTAGGTTCGAAAGAGCAGGACGTGGAGTCGGTGCTAGGTACGCCGACAGGAGTGTTGTGCGAGCAGGTGGTGCCACTATTGCGGTATCTCGATCGCAAGGCGGCGAAGTATGCCGATCCCCGCCATCGGAGATCCTACGCCGAATTGGTGCGGAACCGGACGCGAATCAAAGTCGCGACGAATCCTGTACCAATTTCCCTGGACCGCCAGTGCAGAGAGTTGGAGGAGAAGAACGATGCCCTACACGGACATCTTACTCTCTCGCGAAAACTGCATAAGGCAGTAGTACAGCTGCGCGATGACGCAGCAGCCAAGGCCCAAAGCGAATTTGAGAAGCAGCGTGAAACGATTGAGGCGGAGCTCCATTCGGAGCGAATTCAGAATAGCACCTTGGCAGAGTAGCTCGTGCGTCAGACGCGGTTGTTGTAGCAGTTTCAGATCGCACGCAAGACAGATGAAGAGTTACTACATCGCTTGCAATCGCAGCGCGACAAATTGAGAGCGCAGCGTGCGGATGCGGAGCTGCAAATAGTGGAAGTTGAAGGTGACAGCCGGCGCGAGACAGATGTTAGAGGAGTTAGTCACGCGCGTGAACCAATGTCTGAGAGGTTACACTCTCTGGGAGGTGGCAGCGCGGGAGAGAATGACCTTGCGCGAGTTAGAGATTCGTGCGGCAGCCTTGATGTCGGGTGACAGTCGGAACCGGCGGCGAGTGGCGAAGCGGTAAGATTACTTCCTGGCGAGGTCGCGAGACGCCATTGCGAAGCTCGAGGCAGAGGTGACCGCGGTGTTGCGGCGGCTGGGATTGCGAAGTAAGGCCAAAGACTGGTCTAATAGGGAGACAGTGCGCGGTCGACATTCGCACAGGAGGCATAATAGATGATGTGTAGTAGGTGAAGTGTTAGGTAATTAGGACTTAGAAGGTATAAAGTAGTTCAAGGCGTTTTGCGTTGGGGATTTTCCAGTTTTGGAAGTGCAGTTCAGGAACTCATTTTCTCTGCGCGTTTGTGTCCTTAGTTCTGTCACCGCGCAAGAGGAGCTACAGCTTGACGAAGTTACCGCATTTTGTAGCTGAAGGCCTTTGGCCGAATGCTCAGAGCTAGTGTATACTGGTTAGATACTTGAGCAGTTCGGACATACACCTTCGGGTGATTGTTCCTGTTTGTACTCCTTCGGGATTTTTCCCCCTGAATGCCAAAGTGAAGTTTTGTTACTTCGAGTAAACCTTAATTAACAATTCAGGTTGTACGCTGCCTGAGGCGCCTTTGGGGGTAGCCTCCGCAGTATTTCTGGGAATGACTAATGCCTGAGAATTCAAACTCGTCAATAGACTGTTATGGTGTGACACTGGAGCTTTTCTCAGTTGAGTTTCTCAGTTCGGTTCATATATTCTCTGCGCGTTTTGTGAGTTGAGTGTGTTGTTCACCGCGTGTGAGTGACTTTGGTTTGACGAAGGTACCGCATCCGAAGTAGGAAGTTCAACCCAGGTGCTCTGCTCTAGTTGTTAGAGTTAACAATCCGGAGTTGGGGAACACTACCTGCAGATCCTCTGAAGGTACTCTTGAGAAACTTTCTCCCTGAACCTTGAGTGGAGGTCCTAATCGACCTCTTAGTTGTGCTTTTCCAGTTTCAGGTGTGTGTTGGGGTAAACTACGCTGCAGTGTGCGTCCTCCGAGTGACCTCCAAGTTGAGCACTTGCAGTATTTCTGGGAGTGACAGTCGCCTAAGAATTCAAACTCTTCAATAGTCTGTTAAAACGTGACACTTTGTACTCTGTGTGTTGTCTCTGTCCCTGTGAGTTTGACCTTTTTGCTGCTATACTGCAGTTTTATCCTTTGGTGGGTTATTACAATGACATGCATTTTAAATCTTGTCATTTGGCACAAAACATGTCCAAATACAATTTCAATTACTAGTTGTAGCTGAAATTGATGGCAGTGATTTTATCCACGGTTCTTGACTCTCAACATTCATAATCTTTACATTATCCATTAGGTTCAAATAACATATGAATTTATATAAAAGACAATTGAAGAAAACCTGAAAAAATTATATACAAAACATTGTTATTGATTTCCTTTTATGAATAGAAAGGAAAGTTTACATTTTTTTAAAAAGTGTTGAAATTTTTAATCTAATATTTCATTCCAACATTGATATTGAAACCATTTGTCGTTGAAAGAATAATGTTAAGAATAAGCAAGAGTGAGTCAAGCACTGATATTTTTTTCCCTCAGTGTATATTTCAAAGGTTGTCAAGGAAGATTGACTGATTAGGACTCATATTTCAAAAAGTTGCCAAAAAAATCTTCCTTGGAGTGACTTTTAACCATCAGACCCTCCAAGAAAAAAGTCCAACTTGGATAAGTATGTGAGCCTTTAACTTGAAATCAAAAGAAAGTTAAGCCGAAGACGAAAGCGTTGGAGCTGCTTTCGCAGGAAATTATGAAACAGATATGTTGGTTCTAGAGTTGGAGCATAAGTTGAACACAACTATTACGATAGTTCTCGTGGACGTCAACAAGCTAGTACCTTTATAGATTCAGGACTTAGATCCTGCAGAAAGGAGCTCAAGTATGGCTGATCCAGGACAAATACATTGTGCGGCTGATAGACCTACACGGGAGGGCCTCAAGGCGTGAATCTTGGCTCAATTCCGGACACTGGGATTATCCTAAACGACCGTATACTAGTAAGTACATTGGGTTTAATCAAAGTAGAAAAGCATTAGAAGCTCAACGAGCAATTAAACTCGTAACTCCATCCAAATCCCTCCACAGCAGCTTATATCACCATTTCATCTGCCACAATGGCACGTGTAGAATATGTCAACAGGGTTATGAATTTTAATAGAAATTAGGAATGGTTGTGTCGAAGACCCGACCCTAGCATCTTGGAAGTTTCAAAACACGGTACTCCGGGACTCATACAGCGAACAGTTGAAGAATGTCCACCACAGTTGAAAATCCAAAACATTTGCAACCCAATCAGGACTTGAAACCGCTGCACAGATACAAAGCTTGCTAAAGATATAGATGAATCTAGGTCGTGTCAAGAAAATATTTTCACGATCAAAAGCTACAAGAAATTGCAGAAGCCGCGGGATACAAACAGAAGAACACTTTTTATGCATTAGACTCCCTTAATACATGTATATTCAAATATGTCTCTAAAATATTACCGCCATTTTACCCGTATTAAAAATGGCCCAGACATAACAAAATTCGTGTTCTACACATGTTCAGCCCGATCTTAAACAGACAAGCAAAACACCATAACAAGCATCACTCAACATGTACTTAATACTCCCAGGTTTTCTGAAAGAGCCATTCAGTTGTATCTGATATTCATCAGATAGCCTACTCATCTCTCGACGTACAATCCTCTGAGTACAATGGAGTTTCCGCATGAAAGCTTTCCGGTGTATGCTGATCACATGGATGACGATGGTGCACATCGAAATAAACTTTCATATCGAAAAGATAAACGGCGGAAGTGATGTTATCACTCTCCTTCCCAGTAACAACTATCACTATCATTGCAGTGGTGTAGAGTCTCGTTTCGCTGCGCAGGGCTAACATCTACACTGCTCTGGAGGAGATATCCGTAATTCCTGATAGCGATGGGGCTGTAGTGGAGTGAGGAGTGAGGATCAGACCATCTTGCGGTGGAAACTACTTTGGAAAGCTCTAAGGCGGTTCAAGGGAGACAGAAGGTTCTTGCTACTGGAATGCCTTTGCAAACAAAGCAAGTTCGTCTCCAGTACCTTTTACATATACGAACGACTTGTTACACTGCCATGTGCGGATAGCAGCAAAATAAAGTCAACAGCAACGATTGAGTTTGACATTCAGGATTGGTTGAAAATACATCTTTTTTCGTATTTGATTATATTATTATATTCAATATTTTAGAAATATCTAAAAATAGATATCCATTAAATATGATATAATCAAAAAAATAATTGAAGTATTTGAACGTTATTTGTGTACTAATTAAAGTCATTCCTCAGTGATATTTGATTAGTTCAGTGTAATTACTTGTATATAATTCTCTAGAAGATGTTAAGCTTTTATTGATACTTGAATCATATGTATGTGAATATCCCACGCCAAAGGAGATAGTTGTGAAGACTAAACACACGTAAATTAGTATCTTAAAAAAAGCTTTACATCTTCGATGTTTTAAGTAAAAACTAAATACACTTTGATGTAATCAAAAAGAAGTTCCGTAGTCTGAACCTTTCCCCATTCGAACACAAGAGTTAACTTGTTACTGTCATAATAATTCCAATCAGAAAGGAAAACCCTCTGATTGTTCTCAAACACAGGCTAAACATATTGAGTTATAAAAATTAGAATGCTTTTAGTTCAAAATCCTTATAGGCCAAGGTCAATTTCAAGGCTTCTCTATCGAGAGGCAATCAAGTCAGGACTTGGTAAGTCTGAATCGTGGAAACTGGCTTTTCCAGAAATACTGAACTAGGGTGCATTGCCAGCGAGTCGAAGAGGTGAAGGTGGTGCATTTTGCTTCGCATTACTCTCAATAATATTCCTGATTTAAGATGAGTCTCCGGAAGTCTTCAAATACGGTCAAGCCAAAGGCAGAGAGATCCAAGTCACACAATTGCAGATTCTAAAGAACGAACGAAACGTGCTAAATTGGCCTGCACCTGTTCGATCACCTCACACCGAATTTTATCTTCTCGTCTTCTTGTTTGACCATCGAACGCGTAGGATCATGAGCAACGGTTGACTGTAAAAAGCTCTTGGGGATGAGCAGCTGCACTTCTCATAAGAATTCTTGAAACTTGTTTTGAGCTGAGTCTGATCTGATCCAATCATCGGCCATCGTCATCGTCGAGGGCGAGCCTGCTATGGAAGCTCCCAAAGCCGAGACCGCAGAGTAAGTTTATCCTTGCGACACGTTCTTTCTGCTTTGCGCTGAATACAACGACAACCTTTGTGCGAGAAAATTCTAAGCACCGATAAAAAGGTCGAATTGACGATAAGCGCAACTGAAAAGCTTCAATTGATTTGAAATCTCGAAATTTGTTGCAGATTATTTCTCGGCCTGAGACCAAACTCGCGGAGACCAACTCCGGCACCCTGGACCACGAGGGAGAAACCCAAGAGACTCAGTGCTCCTGATCACGTCTATGGGAAGGCCACGCCCGCAGCATCGAGCGTGGAGTCGATCAAATCAGACATCATGTCGAAAATGGCGACGTTGGAAGCTTCTCTTGTGGCGCAGATTCACGAGTCGAGGTCGAGGGAAGAGAAGCTTCGGAACAAGCTGGCGAAATCGAGAGTGGCGAAGAAAGATCTGCAGGCCAAGCTGAGCCGGTACGATCATGATCGGGCAGAGGGGCAGACGATTGTCGTCGAAAAGCCGCCCGAGCTGCCGATGTCCAGCAGAGCGAGCTGGAGTCCCCCGATGCTGTCGTGCTGCGGCGATCTGAGACAGTTGGCCAGGAATCAGGTCATCCGGATCGTGCAGGACTTATCGCCCGAGTTCACGGTCGATTTGGAAGTTCACAGCTACGGCGGCTACATACCGTGGTCGAAGGTTTTGGATTGGCTCGAGGACCACCCTGACATTGTCAAAACTATCGGACTGAACTTCCATGCCCTGCGAACGATATGATCAGAATGCTCGTCTTTCCTTACTCTTGATCATTCGCATTTGCAGGACCGTCACTGCACACTTTCGTTCATTGCGATGAGAAATTCCTCCTTCAGGACACGACAGAATTTTATGCCTTTGGTAGACAATTTCAGCCGCCAGCGATGACAGATTTCCGCTAAACTCAAAGCATCGATAGACTCCTGACGTCGTCCGCTGCGGACGCCTTTAGTTCACGAACGACTCGAGCCAGCAGCTTCAGGGGCGAGTGAAGCTCCCGTTGATCTAGAAATACGCTCAAATCTTCGATCCGTCTCACCGACTAAAGTTCAAGACATCAATTCTGCAACATTCCGTCTAATCACTTCTGAAAGGAATTTTCGGCTCGTTTAATTACGGGAACTTCGAGCATCGAGAGTGGAAGTGCCAATGTAATGCCACTCGTTGAATCTGGACATTTCCTTCGTATCCTGTGAGGGTACAATTGCAGCCCCATCCACACGATAGAGTTGTGTATTTCAGATTTCAAGCGGTTTCGTTTGTGCTCACATCGAGCGTCCACCGTATTCTGACAGCAGAGAATCCCACCGAACCTAACTCGTTAAAACGCCTCGGTTTGGCTCGACGGGCCGAACTCGAAGAGTGACGGAGAACGGGATTGGGAAGGTCGTGTGATCGAGAGATTCGTAATGGCCTCGACGGTTCGAAAGAAGCACCTCGCCGAATCCTTGCGGAGGTAGGGACGGAGGAATCGAAGCCCAAAGAGGCCCGGACTTCTGGAGTCTTCTTCATAGATAAATACGAGCAACATTTCGCACCACCGCAATGCATGCAGCTCTTATCAAAAGACATGTCTACCACAAAGTCACCTAGAAACTCTACGAGCATGGACAACTTTTCAAAATGTACACAAGTTCGTTTCGTACGCTTTGAAGCGATTGTACTACCTCCTTGACTGCAGCTTCCATTCGAGGGTCAAATCGTGCGAGTCCATTCACGCCAACTCAAATCGAAGTTTTTTCTCATGATGTCTTCATGGTCATGTCCCAGGTTCAAGTCACACCTGAACCATGGCTGCTGCCATGGCTGCTTAGAACACATGCGCTTTGACTTTGCGAATAGAGCATACCTCGAAATATAACATGAAATATCTTCGTTCTGATGTATGATCACACGCGCTTTCTGTCTCGAACGAACTCAATGCTCTCAGTCCCAGAACTATTTCGGAACGAAATGTTGACAGCATTGACGATTCAAGTAAGACAGTGATATTCTTGTGAGAAGCAACGGAGAAATGAATGTTGAAATTGATCTGCTTGCAGTCTTAAAACCTGGCGTCTCGGAGTGCAGCCGAGGTGATCTACCTGCAGCCATCAGTGACGCCAGCCCCGAGCTCTTCATCACCCATCAACTCCTTCTCTGCGCTTCTCGGTCTAACACGGATAGCACTGCCTGCTCTTTTACGACTCGATCTGCAAAGTCTTGGGGACCTGTCACGGAAGCACATCGACCTAGAGGCTCGCGTTAGGGACTTTCACCGCATTGAATGCTGAGATCTGGAAAGGCCATTGAACGCAAATAGCTTGATAAGTTCTCAACCGCTACTAAAAACATACTCGCAACATCGAAGACCGCAGTGGGGATCGAAATCTTACAGATTGAGAATGTATTTCTGAAGCTTACTGACTATAAAAAATGTTCTCTGTAAACTGGATTGGAGAGAACGCAATTGCATATTACGGGAGTTTTAGTGGAGCATTTTGATGAATTCGGTCGCTATTTGCAACTATTTTTGAACAACCAGATCTCGTCTGCACATGTTTACCAGACCCACAAGGTTGTATTCCAAGACACACACTTAACATGAATTTATCAAGTGCTCAGATCCCAAAAATATAACTCTTAATGGGAATAGGTGTTCATGTGCAAACGAATTCTGGTGATCCATCACGAATGGTCCCTCGAAACCATAAACGAAGACCATTCTTCCAAACTCCAACAATTGTCACACCATTTAGCTCCATGATATGCAGTAGTGCGCTATCTTCAGTCATCGCAGCTCAGTCGAGCTCTCGTATATAGGACGGATTCTTGAAGATACCGTCTCGACTCATCTGGAAAGGCTGAAGATCCTCAAACACCGGGAATGAAATTATTATACATAATTTCATACCCATCACTCTGCTCAGCAGAGTGATGGGTATGAACTAAAAATGTTCAACCGATCTGTAAAGTTTGTCATATACCTTAAGAAGAGACTGATGAACCAAGGCACCATCAGTTATTTCATATGGATCTGCAGGTCTAACTTGCGTATTTGACGAGACTTGAGAGAGCCAAGACAGACTGACTGTCGCATTGTTAACCACGTGACAACACTCGAAAGGTACGTACAAGCAGTTGTCGTTCTGAACGACCAACAATTGATTATATTATCAAAGCAACTGTACGCAGAAAGTATTCACCGACCCTGCTGCAGTCTTGTGATTGATTGATAGATTGAAATTTCAGCAACTTACTTCCCATTAAGAATTCGTACGGACGGGAATGCAGAATCAGAACTGGCAGATAATTATCATAACGTTATGAAAGTTTCTCCGCATTGCCACGCTCTGTTGCCAAGTCCAATACTTGATCTGACTAAGCACTGAGATTTGATTCGGATACACGGCCTTCCATGGGTTCCACAATTGAATATCAGCTTGTAAGTTGTAGTTCCAAAGGTTTGTTTCTCCATGAGTCTAGGACCCGATCCTTAAAATGGCGTTAAGTGGGACGACATGGCTTCTAATCCTTTCTATCAGCGCATGTCTTGGTCCATCCGACAACTTTGCAATATATCTTCATAAACTGTACAGACAGTCCCCGATTGTAAAACCAAACTCGGAAATGGGACGCCTTGATGCTACTCTCTTAATTAAAGATAACCACTTTATTCTGAAGGGTATCAAGGTATCAAGGTATCCTCAAGTTCTTAAGTTCAGGCGCGCTATCTCTATGTTCAAGGAAGTAGAATACTCCTTTTAGCTGCAACTTGTTTGTACCATTGTGGTACTAGTGGTGGCATGCATCAATGATGACCTCGATGTCGCGATCTGGATTGGAGTACAGATTGGAAGAGAACGTCTGGAGTAGTCTACGCTCAGGGTAGCGGCACGGTCCACAAATCAATGCTGTCCAGGATTATAATCTAACAAAGATAGTCATTAGTGGCCTGTCCACAGTGCGTAGGAGTGATCAATGCCACCTTGTACGAGCAGAATCTGATCGATGCAAAGCCGTAACCAACAACGGGTTGTGGTGCGAGCACAATCATGATCAGAAGCTTGGAAAACATATCCCCGATGCAAGGTACTGTATCCGTTCGGACGGCGCATATTCCCATTCCTCCTATTCCCACTGCAAGTACAATTTCTGCAAGCGTTCAGGTGACAGAAGGAGGACCCGGGACCGCGGACGCAGACTTTTGGCTGCACAGACCATCGGGTCGGTGGGGCAAGTCTACCAGAATCGAATTCTGATTTATAGAAGCAGGAGAGGGCCTTTGACGAGGACGGGTCGCATACTTTAATCTGGCAGAATATAAGTTTTTAAACCTCGTACACTGATGGCGGCAATCTGCAGTCCAACACCGCATGCACCCACATCGGCGTGAGCTTACCAATCATCGAAGTGCTCGTCAATTAATAATCGGTCCCATGCCCTTCTCGTGTGTCTTGCAGTTTTATACGTCTGTCAGTTATGGCAGTAGCTTCTTCTTTAGCTGTCCAATATGCAGTACGTTCCATTCCTCGATACCTACCGTCCCAGCGAGTGTCATGCTCACCCCATCTTATCCTCTCTGCCCCATTCGCTGAGATTGAGCACGCACGTGAGACTCTAGTACACTAACCAGCCTCGACCAGTCACAGGAACTGGCATTGTCATGTTTCACCAGTCTTCGGCTTGTTAGTACGTCGGAACCAATAACAATGTCTTTCGATATATTTTGACGGGATTTGCTCGTGCCCACTCTATGCTATACGTACGTATGCATGAGATGGATGCATTTTTTAATGCCTCCGGTTCTTCGTCGAAGGGAGAAAATTGCACCAGATGTCCTTTGATGCATGCATTAATTGGCGTCAGCATGATTGAGCTCTCCAGAGTCTCGTTGTTGCCATCATATGACAAATATCTGACCAGTGCAGGAACATTTTAATTCGGATTGAACCTTCGTACTGAACTTAAAGTTGGGGATATTTTCTGTGTTGCTCTGCTCTTGGATCCTACGAGTATATAACCTGACGATTGGAATCCCCGAGAAATAGGTGTTCTGCAGCTCCGTCTGGTGTTCACCAATATTCCCTGATCGGTCTTCGTGGATGCAGGAAATACAAATGCCCCAGATTGAAGTTCAGGACTGAGACCTAAATCTGAATCCTGATTCAGATGTATCTCATTCCCCAGCTGAAGATAAAGCTCTTGTTGACAAAGAACAACCATCATAGAACATTCTCAATGAATACGCTGGATATCTCAATCAAAACGATCTATCTCGATTATCATGATGTTGGATTATGCGTGGTACGTAACAATTCAAAGGTCAATGTCAATAGGTTGTCAAAACCAAAGCCCGTGCTGATATGTTGTTGCTAGAAATGGCAGGACGCATTGGACCGTCGTTATATCTCCCGTCAGCCGAGTCAAAGAGTATGCTCAATATGTCGTCCGTTCCAAAGATGTTTCAACTCCTTCATACTCTTCAAGTTACTTGATTGTGTTAGAATACAGAACTATTTCATAGAAGATATCATTTTCCTGCTAGGAGACCAATTTCTTGTATTATCGGGAACAGGCATCGGTAAAAGTTAGACTTGGCGCTCTATTCCTTCCATTTCATTGAAAGTAAATTGGGTTCCAAGCTGCCAGACCAATAGGCTTTCAACTGTTCGGCTGATGACCAGAAAAAAGAAGAGCTTCAAATCTTCTAAAACTACATGTACGAACATATTTCAGAGTTGAAAGTATGACGAGAATCACGTGTCGGAGAACTCGACACTCGGGCGACAGATGTGAACTATCAGATCATTAAGCTCATGTCCGGATCCCAATTCCCTCTAGTAGACGAACACTTCGAGAATTCTAAACAATCTCTGGTTCTTCGCTTTGCAAAATGGTGAGTAGCGGAAGTGACTGGCGTTCACATGTTAAGAGATTTCAGTCCATTGGCACCTGAATTGACCTTCGATCAAGTCATGTATTTCATCCAATCAGGCGTTCAAGCCTCGGGCCTGCAAGGCCATTGCGAAACAATTAAACACAACAGTGAGAAATATGACTTCAAAGAACATCATGAAGTAAGTTTACTTGATTAGGACGGAACCTTAGACGGCACTGTGCTCCTGCTGTACGTACTCATGGGACCGCTGAAAAGCACAGCGCGTATTATGCATCAGGCAAAACTGTAGCTGTTGAATCAGATGAGGCTACCGTACTGCATACTATGTCCTGTGACTCAGACATCTGTAATTATTCAAGTTTCCATAACATTCTTTAAGTTTCATGATAAATACGGCTATAGCTTGTATTTGGTGTTTGAGCTCTGTATAGCTGCAGCAGGGAAGTGTTCCTGACAATGTTTGCTCGGATGTTTTAGCTGCATGTCAAAAAATGCATGGTTGACATACTATACGTGGACGAAGCAAATATGTCCTAAGCAAACTCGATGGATCATATGATGACAAATATACGTAATTGAATTTAGCTTGAATTTAGAATCGAAGCTGAAACTTACGCTTGCGAGCTAAAGTATTTATAATGTTTGTGGCTTTTGATCTTCGCACCAATTAGTTCATTACACTTCAAAAAATAAACAAATACATAGACACGAGATGGATCGGCTGCCTTCTTGAGTAGATTTAGCAGCAGCTGAATCCAACCACTGGATATCGATTCATATTCTCAGTTCTAAATATACCAATAAAGGCTAGAGGCTGACCAAATAGTGCATGTAAAATTTAGGCTTCTTGATATTGGTTCCAAAGAGTATACTTCTTTCGCATATTGTGAATATCATCTCTAACCTATTATGTTCATTCCAAAGAACTAATTCCTCCTTTGCCGATATCAAAAGCAATATTTTATGCTATACGGATCTGAATCCCCATAACCTACAGAAAATCAGAGTCCACACGCCAAACAAATACTAGAATTTGTTGACAAGATCCAGCTCGAAAGTCTTGTCCCTGCGAACTACTCAATGAAGGTAGTTTGAGTATATATCCAAGATCAATTTTTTCTGACTTGACCCTTTTTTGCCGTCATTACAATATTTCAGTCTGCTGATATATACACACAAAGATAATCACTACTCTTTCATCAGCAAGATTAACACTTCCTCACAAATGATTCCTCCTCTCAATGTGTCTCCTAATCTCACTCTCGACATTATTTGAAATCTACTCACTATATTTATCCCTTAATCCGCTGACCAACTTTATATTATCCTGACTTATAACGATACCTACAGCGCTAAAAAATCAGAATCAATCAAAGCCGTCAATTCCTATACAACCCTTAGGATATTGACTCATCAGCAAGCTATAATCAAACCATAAAACGACAAAAATTCTTTAAAAAAACAACATGTAACTCAAGTTGATATCTCACAATATCCATCTCTGTCTTCGATTTTAATCTTGGTCACATGTACTCAAACTTGGTCCTTGTCCTTCACAGATTTGTCGTTTGATTTTCCTTAATCACATTGCATAAACTACGAGAAGATTCAAACATAATCAAAACTTCACTTAAATACCACTTTGTGCCAGAGTCTTGTCTGCTTGTCATTAGTGCTGATTTTGCAATGTTGATGTCGTCATCCGTGATCTTTTCTCTGATGAAGTGAT